ACCAGAGTTCAAAGGCCTCCATTCTTTGGCGCTCAGCCTTCCTTATAGTCCAACTTTCACAACCATCCATTGCAACTAGGAAAACCAAAGTACTCTAACTCAAACGCACATGTCAACATGTTGCAATTCAGGTACATATTTGTCCTTCCGATGTTGCATAATAATTATTTTTGGCTGTCTCCCATGCATAAAAGAGCCACACTTCTCAATGTCTTGATAGATTCCAAATGCTGGGGATACAGACAAGCAAAACATCACCATTCTTTAACCAACCAAGATCGATCTAAATTTGTATTTAGATCGATCCTATGGATCTAAGCTCAAAATGTAACAATAATCAGACAAATTCAGCCATATAAGTTAATGTTCCAATATCTCAATCACAATTCCAGCAACAGCTCTTAAACATTTTTAGAAGTATCCATACAAAATGAGTTTTCTATTACCATATTTTTCGGACTATAAGACGCACCGGACTATAAGAGGCAACAAGATTTTGAAGAGGTAAATTTGCACTCTGTAGTCCTCCCAATCCTTCTGCATGCCTCCTTTTGGGGAAAAACGGGGCATGCAGAGAGTTTGAGAGGCCTACAAAGTGTTCCTGGGAAAGGGGGAGGGGGGCAAAAATAAGCAAAAAACACCTTTTGCAAAAAAATACAGGGCATGCATAGGTTTTGGGAGGCTTGTAAAGTGCTCTTGGGGGTTAGGGGGGCAAATTGGGGGGGGGACAGCCTGTTTCTGGCCCTCTCCAGCTCCCAGGAGCACTTTGCTGGTCTCCCAAATCTTCTGCATGTCCATTTTTGCAAAAAACAGGATGCGTGGGGGCGGAGTTTTGGGAGGCCCAAAGTGCTGTATTCAGTGTATAAGATGCACCCAGATTTTCATCTTCTTTTTGGGGGGAAAATGTGCAACTTATACTCCCAAAAATACAGTATATTACCCACATGTTTTATAACCCTTGCCATATACAATTCGATGGAGACTGAATTTGTTCTTTGGGCTCAGGCCAAGTCAGTTTGGTGGGGTTTAGGAGCATGTGAGAAGGGTTCCTAAAAAGAGCTTGGATGAAATTAGATTAATGGGTGGAATCAATTAAGCAATAATTAGTGGGTGGGAGCTTTTTAAAGAGGGACCCAACCTAGAAGCAGTGGTGGGATTCAAATAATTTAACAACTGGTTCTCGGCCCTAATGGGCAGCTGGGTAGGCATGGCTGGGTGGTCACGTGACTGGGTGGGCGTGGCCAAGTCGACATCACTCACGTTGAGGTGCGCTTCTCCTCGCCTGGCCTCTCGTGACCATGGGGTACCTCAACGGCCATAAGTGTGAAAAACGATCATAAGTCAGTTTGTTCAGTGCCATTATAACTTTGAATGGTCACTGTGAACTGTTGTAAGTCAAGGAGTACCTGTACAAAAATACAAAAAGCTTCTTTGCTTGCAAAAAGCTGCCCTAAACACCAATCATTAGATTAGAAAGACCTACAACCCAGAGTTACAAATCAGGCAGGGGACCAGAGCACCTCAAGGAATTAAAATAGTTAAAATGCAATGATTTCCTCCCAACAATAGGTGCGAACTGAATAGGTGCAAACTGGCTGAATCCCACCACTGCATTAAAGTAAGGAGAGATTTTCTGACAATGAGAACAGCTGTTCTGTTGACAGCTTGCCTCCAGAAGTACATATATTGTTAAGTAAGCTCCCCGTTGGGAGAGCGAGTGCGTTCAGAGAAGCATTGTGAGAGTTGTGTTGGAGAACACACAAACCAGCATATAGAGACACTGCAGTTTAAATAGGCTT